GCATCTTGACATTTTTCACATTTAATAGGCTCATTCATGAAAATCAAATGAATTTGATAATTGTATGGTACCACTATTGCTTCAATGCTTAATTTGGTCTAGTGGTAACATATGACATGTTTGTGGGCTTGTAAACCTAGTGTTTAATCTAGAAAATAAGCTCTAAGTGTTTAACTCAATATGGTACAAGATAACCCTTATTTGGAGATGTGAAGAAGCTTGTCCTTAGATCAAACCGAGTTAAATGTCTTTGGCAAGTATTCTAGATTAAACCAAATTTGGGGAAATGATCCTTACCCCATTGATTGACATTGATAATCTCAACCTATCTATATTTTGAACCTTTGTGGTCATTGATGACAAAAGGGGAGAAAAACAAAGATATTAGTGCTATGGGGAGAAATAGAAATAGTATACTAAGATAGTGAAAAGACAACAAAGGGGAAAGAAATAAAGATATAAGTGATAGGGGGAGAGATATGATAAAGGAAGGGGATCAATCAAAATTTTGAGCACACAAGTAGGTGGAGCAAGCTCATGAATTTGTATGGTGCATTTGAATGTGCATTTCATATGTTTGCTTGCATGGCACAAGTTTTTAAATTTTAATATCCATGCTTGTGTGGTGTATGCTAGTTGTAGGTTTAAAATGATGAAATAAAAAACTAGCATGCGTAGGTTAAGTAACTAGACTCATGCTCTCGTTATGAAAACTAGACCCTTACTTCTAATGTTGATCTCATGAGGTATTCTAGTTTTTGTGTATGTCTAGTTACTAATGGTGCTAAGGATGGTATATTGGTGCACTCCGATTAGTGTCACGCTTCAAAGGTCTATCTTTTATAGCTTAGCATTATTTGGTAGACATTGTCTTCTATATTTCCTATCTAAGCATATGTGCAAGCTACAATCCAAACTCTTAGCACATATGTAGGGGGAGCAATTGCTACCATTTGGAATTCATGAAACTTATCCATATCCTTTTACACATGGTAAATATGCTTGGACAAGCAACATAGATTCAATTAAATTTCAATTCATATCTTTGTGTTAGGGTTGTCATCAATTACCAAAAAGGGGAGATTGAAAGCACTAGTTTGGTTTTGTTGAATTGATGAAACCCTAAGTGATAACCTAGTTTATCAAAGTGATTATGAGTTAGATAGCACTACTCCAAGTGGTGAAGCAAATGAAGATCATAACATGACGATGGTGTTGCCATGGTGATGATCAAGTGCTTGGACTTGGAAAAGAAGAAAGAAAAACAAAAGTCTCAAGACAAAGGTATAAATGGTAGGATACATTTTGTTTCGGTGATCAAAACACTTAGTGAGTGTGATCATATTTAGGTTCGATAGCCGTACTATTAAGAGGGATCAAACTTGTATCGAAATACGGTTATCAAAGTGCCACTAGATGCTCTAACTCATTGCATATGTATTTAGGATCTAGTGGAGTCCTAACACCCTTGAAAATATTTGTGAAAATATGCTAACACATGTGCACAAGGTGATACACTTGATGGTTGGCACATTTGAGCAAGGGTGAAGAAGATAGAGTTAAAAAGGAGTTAGTCGCGCTGGTCACTGAGTGACCGGACGCGTTCGGTTTGGCGACTAGACGCGTCCAGTATGCGGCTCGGTATTGAATTACAGAGAGCGATCAGACGTGTCCGGTCGCCACACCAGATGCATCCCGTGTGAATCAGGGAAGTCATAGTTTAGTATAACAGTTGATCGGACGCTGGGATCGTCCAGTCCGGAGTGACCGAACGCGTCCGGTCGGGCCTAGGAGCTTACTGGACTCGATTGGACGCCGAGGCTCAGCGTTCGGTCATTTTCTAACAGCGCATCCAGTCGGCCCTGGGAACTCTCTGGACTCGACCGGACGCTGCGGCTCAGCGTTCGATCGTTTCTAACTCAGCGCCCGGTCGTTTATAACAGAGCGTTTGGTCGCAGGAAAATGTGTTGCAACAATGGCTACTTTAGTTTGAACTGGACACGTGGTGGTCAGGTAGCGACCGGACGTGTCCGGTCGCCACACCAAACGCGTCCGGTATACACGAATGGTGCGTCCGGTCAACACGACCTGCGCGTCCGGTCGATGCGCAGTTAGCCCAATAATTGAGCCAACGGCTCTATTGATTGGGGGTGTCTATAAATACCGTTTGGCCGGCTCTAGCTCACTCTCTTGGCCATTTGAATTGACATAGCAACCTTGTGAGCTTAGCCAAAGCCCTCTCACTCATCTGCATCATTGATTCATCATCTTTGTGAGATTAGGAGTGAATCCAAGTGCATTGCTTGAGTGTTTGCATCTAGAGGCACTTGGTGTTCGTGTTTCGCTGCGGGATTCGCTTGTTACTCTTAGTGGTTGCCGCCACCTAGAGAGCTTGGAGCAGCGAGGATCGTCGAGTGGAGGTTGGTGATTGACTCCGGCTCCGATCGTGGTGATTGTGAGAGGTTCTTGACCTTTTTCCGGCGGAGAGCCAAAAGGTACTCTAGTAAATTGCTCCTGGCTTGTGTGATCCTCATCTTGTGTTGGTTGTGCGGCACCCTATTGAGGGTTTGGCGGGTGATGTCAATCAGCTTGTGAACCTCCAAGTGAGTGAATCGCCACAACGAGGACTAGCTTGTCGGCAAGCAAGTGAACCTCGGTGAAAAATCATTGTGTCATCATTTGATTCCGATGTGATTGGTCTTCATTGGTATTCATTCTTGTGATTGAGTGGTTTATTCCTCGACTCGGCGGTATATCCATCTTGCTCTATCTCTTTACATTACCGCAAACTAGTTGTCAAGCTCTTTAGTGTAGCTAGTCGTGAGAGCTTGTTAGTTTGGTTAGTGTTGCTCTTTAGTTAGCCTTTGAGAGCACACTAATTTAGTATAGTTACATAACCATTGTGTGGATAAAGACTATAGAAACTAGAGTTGTGGTAGGTGGCTTGTAATTTTATTAGGCTAGCGCAGCACTTGCTTCGTCTCATAATTGTCTAACAGGTTTGCTAAATGTTGTTGTAGAAATTTTTAATAGGCTATTCACCCCCCTCTAGCCATTAGAACCTTTCACTCCGACTCCAAGCTAACAGATATGGATGAGAAAGATGAGAAAAAGAAAGAAAAAAGAAAGAAGAGAAAAAATAAAAAAAAGAAAGAAAAGAAAAGATACGATATTATGTTTCCCATTGATTAATTATGTGTTATTGGTCTCAACTTTAATAAAATTTGCACGATGAAGTGTTTATACACTATAAGCAGTATGCTCCAGTATATTTGTTGATTCTTTGATGGTATAATTGGAAGTGGAAGTGAAAACGTGTGCCCCTGGCCCTTCATGTTCACCAGCGCTATAGCATAGATGCAATTGATTACTTAAGTAGAAAAAATATTGAGTAAAAAACTATAGCTTTCAAGACAAAATAATACATAGACATCAAAACTTTGGACGACGCTATACCTTTTGTTCCGTTGCAATTGCACGAGCACTTTTGGTAGTAATAATAAAAAAGCCACCAGCGTCGCTCCTCGCCGTCTCCGCCCCTACTCCGTCGCCTCTTTTCCTCTCCCCCATCTGATCCGGTAGCCGGCCTTTCCGGCGGCGTCAGCGGTGCCCGGCCCATCCTGCGGAGGCGCGCGGATGCGGCGGCCGTCCCTTCCGGCGGTGGCGGTGCACGGAGGCGGCAGCCAGTCCTGCCGAGAGCTGTGCTCGCAACCCTCATCTTCATCTGTGCCTCCAAGCCTGGCGCTTCCCCAGGTCTACCTCGCCGCCGTCTTGATATATCGAGGTTGGCGTCCTCCTCTTCTCGGTCTCAACCTGGGGTCCGATCTCGATGGGGTTGTTGCGGCCTTCTCGATCTAGAGGTCAGTTTGGTTACATCTTGGCTAAAATTTCTATTCGTTTTTTCCTGAGGTCCTACACCTACCGCTGGACAGGAGTGGAGACTCCAGGATGCACCACCCCTCCCCCTCCGCTAGAGAGATGCAAAGAGGGCATGACGGTACAGCTGAAACATTTTGGCTCTGTTCGCTTCTTTTATAATCCGTACTTTTCAGCTTGTTTTTTTCAGCCGAAACAGTATTTTGCTCTCACAGCAAATCACCCGGAACAATGTTTCGGCTTATTTTTTCAGCGAAGCGAACGGGGCCATTGAGGTGTCATTTGGGACGGACCGGCTTCAGTGGTCGCCACCCCATGCATGTCAACAAGCATGGTAGCAGCCAGGTGCCGAGCCTCACTCCTCCCTTTTAATCTCTTCTATGTGCCGTCTATGAAACACTGTTTATGGTTTCTTCTTTTCTGAAAATTTTTAACAAATGTTTTGTTCAATTGTCACCTGCGTAGGATCTGTATACCTGTTTCCAACCTAAAAGTGATTTTCCCTGCTTTAGTATGTACATTGTCTATTCTGATCGGTTAGGGACTATGATTCTGTTATGTGGCGGCTACAGTACCCGTGAAGCTACAGTAAATAGGGTACTGTTCACGCCTCCAATTGTGGCGGCTGGTCTGCGAGGGAGGCTGGAGACCGGCCGGGGGTCTTGCCCATGGCCGAGCAAGAGGGAAGGGATTTCCTTCTTAATTCTTGTTTAATTAGATTGATATATTTCCTCTCTTTATATAGAAATGTTTATTTGACTCTCAAGCAAGGCTTACTTGACCCTGAAGTAAGCGACCCTTATCTCTAATTAACCCTAACATTATTGGCCTATACAGCCAACCCAGGCCCAATAGGCCCCTGACGTACTCTAACACTACACCCCACCTGGACATGCAGCTCGTCCTCGAGCTGCAACCTAACGAACTTATAACGCTGACTCGACGGCACCTAAAAAACAAGCCTTTTTACATTTTGGCTTAATTTATTATTCTTAACCTGAAATGGACTGAGACTCTTTATTTTTGACTCCTGAACATAAGGTGGACACCATCCGCACGCCAAACCTGCATGTGTACAGCCTCCTGGATCCCATGGACACCATCTCGACGAAAGGTGCATGTGTATGGCCACCTGGAAGTGGTCACAACAGCGACCAGCGGAGGCGCCCTCGCGGCGGCCAGTGGCAGAATGCGACGGCACTACGCGGTGTGCTCTCGCTGGTGACCCCACGCCTTCTCCCTGCCAGACGGCTGCTGGTCTGCACCGCACAGAGAAGAGCGGAGGGCTTTCGATGGAGAACGAGGTGGAGGGATGCGCCTCCCCAACCGTCGCCTGCAGGGAAAATAGCATCTCCACCTCCCGTGGGGGAAACCGCATGCCCGAGATCCCCGACGTAGCGGACGAGATCGAGGCCCTCCGCGCAGCGAAGCGCAACGTGGAGGAGCTACGAAGGGGTGCAGGGCTGGATCAGCTACAGATCGCGCATCTCCCGCACCCGCTGACGTGCTAGGAGGCCGCGCGTAGCAGCCTATAGCCGCACCGCAGCCGACACCTGGCGGGTAAGCATCTTCCCCGCAAAGGGATCCGACAGTGGCTCATCGGAACCTGGCATCGGGAACTCCAACTTGTAGAAGCGCGGAGGGTGAGCGCCGTGGCTGACACCCGGAGCGGCTGGTTCTGGAGCAAAGGCTGCGGACGACGAGGCGCCGTGGTGGTGCTACATGTTGCCGCCGTAGAGTAGAGGACCATCAACGCCTCCATAGAAAAACCCCTCGGTGTAGGAGGGCTGCTGTACCGCCCCACCGTAGTGGATCATGGCGCCTGTGGTAGGGGCTGGGGCAGCCAACGCCGTGGTTGCCGAAAACGTTGCCATCGTATACACCGGGCCTACCGTTGGGGCCAGGGCATAAGATGGGATCGGCGACGGGGAAGGCGGCATCCGGAGGAGATGGATGGAAACACTCGTCGTGTTGGAGTAGGGCATCCCATACGGCAACGGCGGCGGCGGCGGTGGCGCGCCGGCCAGGAAGGCTCGAATGCCCACCACGGCCTGCCCTAATTCCAAGATTGCGGCCGTCATCTGCTCCGGGGTGAGGACGAGGGCGGACGGCGCCGTTGCAGAGGGCGCCATCGCCCCTGAGGACGCCAGCGCGCCCAATGCCGATGCGCCTGCTATGTGGGGCAGCAGCGCCGACGAAGACATTGGTGGCGGCGGGTGGGTGTGCGGCGGTGGAGGGTGGGAAGAACTCGGTAGAGGGCTGGACATGATCGAACCAGAGATCTCTGATACCAGATTGATATGTGGTAGCTACAGTAAATTGGGTACTGTTCACGCCCACAATTATGGCGGCTGGGGCTGCGAGGGAGGCTAGAGGCTGGCCGGGGGCCTTGCCCATAGCTGAGCAAGAGGGAATGGATTTCCTTCTTAATTCTTGCTGAATTAGATCGATACATTTCCTCTCCTTATATAAAGAGGTTTACTTGACTTCTAAGTAAGACTTACTTGACTCTTAAGTAAGCGACCCTTATCTCTAATAAACCATAACACTAATGGGTTATACAGCCAATCCAGGCCCAATAGACCCTTACGTACTCTAACATATTCACGCTGCATTGCTGCAATAATTCAGAGGCTACGTGCTGATGAATTCGTGTGGTAAATATTTCTGCAATCAGCTCGCTCTTATGAGTATAACTTAACAAATGGATGAGCCTATGTTGATAGATGTTCCTGTAGATTTATGATGACCTCATGTACATGTCTCAGGTATGATTCATGTGCCTTCGTATTTAATGTCATGTCATAGACTGGCAATCATATTAGAATGTTTCCACATTTCATGGGCTTGCTTTTTGTTAGTTGTTGAAAAGTATGTCACATCACTTCATGATAGTCTTCTTTGATTAGGCTCATGGATTCTATGAAATGTTAGAGTTTCGGCCGTTAGGACATCTTAGGTTATCAATGAGCATATAAAGATTGACTTCATTCAACTCCGCTTCCTCATGTTACATTAAAGGGTCATTTTGCAATACAATCATTAATTTTTCTCCATGTTTTATGCTTGTGGTCTCCATGTTCTATGCATTGTTCCCATATTAATTATATATCTCCATATTGGGAAGCAAGATGCTGGTGGAGCAATCACGGTTATGTCAGGTGGAATATCCATCTCGTGGAGAGGTTTTTACACGGTAACAAAATTAATTTTTATTCATTCGACCATTAATTTCTATGCAACGACGGTGCCAAAAACTTTTCCGCGCATCTTGACCGGGGATTCTATGCATCCAACCGGCCATCACATGCCATGATTCAAATTTTAAATCTTGGAAAAAGACGAGAACGTCTACATGTTTCTATGCTCTCGCTCATAAGTTTCTATGCGTAGATAAAAGCATGATTTTGGTGGAGGCAATCACAGTTGTACTAGGTAGAATGTTCATGTCGCGGAGAGGTTTTTACGCGGTAACGAAATTATTTTTTATTCATCAAACTACTAATTACTATGCAACGTCAGCGCCAAAAACTTTTCTACGCATCTTGACCATTGATTCTATGCATCCAATCGGCCATCACGTGCCATGATTCAAATTTCAAATTTATGAATTTTAATTTTTTTCAAAACATATTCACAGTAGATCTTAAATCGTGCACAAAAATGTCTAGAGTTCAATGGTGAAAATCATTTTTGAATCGGATGCTTCGTTGAGAATTATAATGAAAAAACGAAAGCGATTAGATTGGATGCGTGCATGCATGCATGCGTCAGCTCTGTCAGGTTATGTCAGGTGGAACGTTCAGCTCGTGAGAAGGTTTCTACGTGGTAATGAATTAATTTTTATTCATCCAACTACTAATTTCTATGTAACATCACGACAAAAACATTTGTGCGCACGTTGAACTGAGCTTTTATGCATTCGATCTGTTGTGGCCCCCTATCTGCGCGCGTGTCAGCCCTACGGACCTGAATAGTTGGGCTGGCTGGGACTCTTCATTAGCTATTTGGAGCCCTGGGCTCCATACACACACACATATATATATATATATATATATATATATATATATATATATATATATATATATATATATATATATATATATATATATAGTATATTCAATAGCCAGTTATAAAATAAGTTATTCTATAGCCATCTCCATTTACGATAATTTTATATACTAATTTACGATAATGTCAATACATATTTATGATAGTTGGGTTACTATAACACATAGAGATATTTACCATAATATTATAGTAAACCATTTAGTAAAGAGTTACTATAATCTCATAAATTAACATAGTAATTATCGTAACTCAAAGTGGCTATAGAATAAGTTATTTTATAGTCCGCTACAGGTAGTAGTTCTCTCTCTGTGTATATATATATATGGTAGATTATATATATTTATTTAGTCAAAGCGCCACACCTACTATGTTTACCATGCTCTGTGTGCTATTGTCTACCATGCTCTGTCACTACGCTTATACTTACAGGTCTGTAATATGCCGGCGCAGCGATAGCGCCCCTAACGTGCTAGTATTATAACATACACACACATACACATATAAAAGAAGAGGGAAGCCCTTTAATTTGTACAACATGAGGAGAGAATGGTCTTGTGTGTTTATTGGACAACAGACAACAGCAAAGCTTCCATCACTTTGAGAATAGTCGATGTCAGTCCAGCGTCGCCCTAGACCTGCCTAATAAAAGGCGTAAAGCCACATCGCTCTCGATCAGGCAAGTTGGAACCGCCGGTAGAATTCTCTCTGTTTTTTTAGATAATGGAAATCTATGTATAATTTGAATCAAAAAGAAAAATCACTGTATAATTTCCATAGAAAACCAAAGGAGTTGTAATTTCAGTCCATTAACCAACGTAGGAGTACATTTCATTGTATGGTAATGCTCCTATAGAGCGTCCGTCCATCCCGACGAACCCCGTTCGCGTCGCTCGCACGCTCTGCGTGCTGCGCGCCCCTGCTCGTGGGATGGGCTCTGCCCTTGCCCACGTCGCCCACTCGCTCTGTACGCTGTGCGCCCCTACTTGCGGGACGAACCCCGCTCCCGCTCGCGCCGCGTGCCCCCGCCCAGACTTGCGCCTCCCGTTGCGACCGCGCTTCATCCGCCTACCATGGCCCATGCTGAGGTTCGTGCCGCCGCTGAGCTCCACGCTGACGACCTCCGCGCCACTCCGTGGCATCGAGCTCCATGCCGGCGTCGAGCTCCTCGTCGATGAGCCTCTATTTTCGTCCAAACAGCAAGTAGATGTTGCGCTTGAAAGCGCATGTTGCAAGCGTCTGTTTCAACTGCTTCAGATCTTTAAGAGCTATATTGCAAGTGTTTTTATATGGATGTTGCAAAAGTATATCGGGATGTTACATATGTTGCAATGACTATATACGTATGTTGTAAGCGTTTGTTTCAAATGTTTCACTTGTTTTTTTTTCGACGTATGCTGCAAGTGTTTTTATTTAGATGTTGTATATGTTTTATACATATGTTGCAAGTGTTTTTATCTAAATGTTGCGTGTGTTTTTGCAATAGATTTTCAGGTGTTTTTCATGTGTTTCGGATGCATGTTTCAATGGTTTTATCTGTCTTCAGGCGCATGTTGCAAGTGTTTCATCTGGATGTTTTAAAAGTAGATCTGATGTTGCACACGTTTACAATATGACTCACCTGCCACAGCTGCAACTGCTGGTGCGCTGTGCATGCGTGTGGAAAGCGGAGGGATAGAGCACTGTACAGCATGGGGCGCGGGAAGCGAAGAGGGAAGCGCGGAGAGCGGCACGGACGATCCCCACCTGGACCTGGCGCGGGCGAACGTGGGTGTCTGTTCCAACTTCCGGCCGCTAGTTGGGCCTGTTCGGCTAGTATTAAAGCTAATTGATAAGCCGGCTGAAGCTGATTTATTATGAGAAAAAAATACTGTAGATTCTAGCTGATAAGGCAACTGATAAGTTCAAACGAACATGCTCTTATCGGCGTCTTCAAAGAACATTCGCAGCACAATACTCCTAGTAGTATTTGTACAGTTACCGTTGGGGTCGCACACAGCTGGCAGCTGGGAAACAGACAAATGCTCACGTCCAAATCACTTCGCTTGGACACGATCAGTCGATCACCGCCTGTTCGGCTGGGGCTGGCTGGCTGGCTGGGCTGGCCAGCCCCTTTACATGGACACTGTTTGTATGAATCAGTCAATAATATTTTTTTTTTACGTAAATAAACCAGTAATGATATGAACCGGTCAATCCAACAGGCAAATCTTTATATTATTTCCTAGGTTTGTTTGTCGGGAAATGTTCTCTCATGTGACTATCCGTGATGAAGTCATGATACAGTCGGACTACACAAAAGCTTAGCGGGATTTGTGTACACAGTACCCGGGTGAAAATCTTTGCCTCCTGCTCTCGATTTTTTTTATTTTTTTTCTTCTTCTCGTAAATACTATTTTCAGAGCCGCATTAAAAAAAACTTGACATTTTTGTTTTCATCTAA